GCTGGGAAAGTCGCAAATGGCGATCACGTGACCCCGGGATGCTGCAACTGTCATAAGTGCAAGCTGGTTGCCAAGCACCTGGATTATGATCACGTGACTATGGGGGTACTGTTATATTTGTAACTGCGAGGACTGGTTGTAAGTTTCTTTTTGTTCAGCACCGTTGTAACTTTGAACAGTCACTAAATGAATGGTTGTTAAGTGAGGACTGCCTGTATTTCCAAACACTGATAATTTGTTAGCATGTAAACATAGTAGTCTAATACTACTAATGCCGAATCACAGAAGTCTGATGCAAAGATCAAATAACTTGTTGGGCCTCATATCTAACAAAAGTAACATGCTAAAATCTGTGGGTCATAGCTAGGCAGAGATGTCTAGATGGAGCTTGATTCTTAGTAACTCCCACAGATGGTTTTCTTAGCAGCATTAAGGATGTGGTTTGCCTTTGCGCTCTTCTAAGATTCTTTCCAACTTCTAGCCTGCAGTCCTAGGTTTCTTGGGTAGTCTTACATCCAAGTACAAACCTGATCTGACCCAACTTAGTTTTTGGAGATTGGGGTGTTATCATCAGCTGCATAGTCTTTTCTGTCTTCCTAAGGAAAAGCAATGCTCATGCTACAAAGTGGAATTTAACAGTCAAGGTAAAGGGAGTCTTCTCTGAAGCATGGAAGGATATCAAACTGTTCTGTTGCTGGGTGCAACAATCCCCTCAAGCTGAAGAATACCAGAGTTACCACAGTAATCCCCATTTTTTCACACATACATCTATGCAAAACATGAAAAATGTCTGAGACTCATTTGCATTATTAAATCATGTTCTTTGGTTCATTTCCCCATTTCTGTACTTTCAAGAAAAAAAATCTCAATATAATTTGAAGACACTGTACAAAACCCTTTCAGCATTTTTTTTTAAATAATCACAAATATACATTCATGGTAGATAGGCTTATGGGAAGTGAGGAGAGATTCATACCAAAATGCAGATATTGCTCATTAAAACTCCACTCATAAGATATTGGAAACTAAATGTAGAGATTTTTTTCACTGACATTATTTGAATGTTTGTACAATAGAATTGTTAGATTATATTTAAAACACAGTACTAGAGTCTGTGTTTTATTGTCACCTAGAAAAAAATGCCACATTTTTTAAATCTACTACTTTTTCTTTGCGTACTTTCCCTTGTTTCCAGAGCACTACCTTAAGGAACTTGCATTAGCAAGTAGTATCATTTTAATGTCTGACCTATCCCTCCAGTCATATAGCTCAGAATCTTCTGCATGGATTTTTGCTAAATTATGCTATCCTTCCTCTCCTCTTAATTTTACGGTTTTCAACACAGATTTGCTTTCCTGTGGGAAGGAGATAAGAACCTGAGGATTTTAATTTAAGCTTTGGCCTTGTCTTATATTTTGCAAGAGAGAGAGAGAGAGAGCGTGCACACGCATGCATACACAAGCAGGAGAGAAAAAGCAGTGCCACTCATAAGTGGGTGAAAGCCATTAAGCATTAGGATGAATTCCCATTAAGATATATGAGTTAGCATGCAAGAGACATTTGAAGCAGCAATGCATCTTCCCCTTTTTAAAGAAAACACATACATATTCATAAACACTGAATAACTGGTTCCAGATAATCTATACCTAGAAGAGTCAATTGTCTAGGGAGACATTTTTTAAAACAAACAAATATATCTGAAATTATGCAAGCTGCACTGAAGATAGAAGTTTACAGCAACACATCACCCATAACATTGCAGAAACCAACTATAAAATATATGCTTAATGCAACTCCTTCCAGTACAAATTTCCCATCTAAACAGTGTCATTATAATGCCCTTGTGTTTCTTTCTTTGCCACAAGAAACTCTTTTACCTTCTTCTTTTGTATAAATAAAATGTTCTGGTTACATACTTTGCATAGTTCATGTGTGCTAAGATATCTAATGAGAAGAGCATTTCTACACTTTCTTCTATATTATGGTGAAGAAAGCAGACGAAGGACAATTCCACACAACAGCCTAAGTTGCTTATCTCTCATGCTGCTCCCAGCTATTCCTTAAGCCAACTTTAACAATTCCAGTGTGGATTGCAATGGTTTGGCAATGGGGCTGCTTGGTGCTCAGTCTGGACTACTGTCATTGCAGTTGATTCCTTTCTTCTTGCTGGTCCAATCCATGCAGAGAAGGCAAACCTTGCCTTCTGACCCAATTTAGGCAGGTCTATTCCTCCTTTCAAGAAATGGTGGGTGGTCCATAGAGCGATGGAACAATTCAAAATTACAGATTTGACCTAAGACTCCACGTTTTAGCCAGGAAAGTGTTTATGGCTCTTTGCCCAGGCCTTTGGTCAGGATGACTGAAGCCTTCTTTTAACCTAGATTTTCTTTTCGTTTCTTTTTTTGTTTGTCATCCTGCCATCTTTACTCTTCTTTTTGTTTGTCATTTTTAATGTCTTGTTTTTAATGTTTTAAATAATTTGTAAACCACTGTCTCTGAGAGTCAGATGGCATATACATTTTGATGATGTCGTCGTTGTCCTTATGGAGCACATGGGCCCTCCTTAAAACCTTATGTCATCAAGGGACAGATAATATTAATATATTTTATAATATAAAAATATATTATTATATAATAATATCTGAAATAATACAATGTATAATTACATATGCCTGACAATTGTTACCAGTAGGGCAACCTTATGAAGCCTCAGCACCCTCAAAATATTTTGGACTGTAATTCCTATAATTCCTGACTCCTGGCCAAACTGATGAGAGGTGTAGTCGAAACCATCTGTAGAGACTCAGATTCAGAAAGGCAGCTATTGGCTGATAAATTATCACACTGTGTATTTAACAAAATCTATCGCCTATGGCTCCCATTCCTCAAGTCCTGCGGCCTCACCATGGTGTGGGCAGGCATTGCCAGGAGAGTATGCCAAGAATATATAATCCCATTTTTTTAAGTATGCCAGCAAATTTGGAGAATGACACAGAGGCTAATGAGTTTGAACAGGTCAATCTCCATAACAATAGCAAAAGAAGGAGCATGCAAACTATCGTACAATATCCTTGGGACCATCTAATGCAGATGAGAGCCTTGCATGGAAATGGAGATGCCAGATGTTCAAGGTGGCTTTAGAAACAGCTGAGGGAAATCAGAATCCTAGGACATCTTTCTGTCCTTGTGTGAAATTTATACACAGGCCGGAAAGCACAGTATGGACAGAACATGGCAAAACAGACTAGTTCCGGTTAGGCAAAGGAGCGAGGCCAGACTATATAGTCCACCCCTTATTTGTTCAACCTGTATGCAGAATATAAAACTACAGTGGGGCAAAAAAGTATTTAGTCAGCCACCAATTGTGCAAGTTCTCCCACTTAAAAAGATGAGAGAGGCCTGTAATTTTCATCATAGGTATACCTCAACTAATTGTGCAAGTTCTCCCACTTAAAAAGATGAGAGAGGCCTGTAATTTTCATCATAGGTATACCTCAACTAATTGTGCAAGTTCTCCCACTTAAAAAGATGAGAGAGGCCTGTAATTTTCATCATAGGTATACCTCAACTAATTGTGCAAGTTCTCCCACTTAA